ATGAACACCATTAATAAACACATATCGCCGTGTTAAAAAAATACATTTCTGCGATATTTCAAACTTAAAATCAGTAATATTTGTTTACAATCAGATTAATTAAACTTTAAATCAGCTAATATTCTTCAAATAAGATTTCAGAAAAGTATATATTGTTACTGAAATGTTTTTTTTTTTAATAAAGAGAATTACATTCTGATGTTGGTGGCTAAAACTGACGCTAAAATCAATAATTTCAGTAATTTGAAAACGAAAACTCCATCCAGTCAATTTAAATTTGTTTTGAAATACAGCAAAGTATTTTGCTTGTTGGAAATATTAAATGCAATCCGTTAACTTGGAATTAAAACGAAAATAAAAGCTTCAAGAAAGATGTTTAAATTTCAAATTTTATTTGACTTTGAAAAACAAAGAATAATTTAAAATTTAGTTAATTTAATAGGCTGAGTCTTGTGCTTTTACGGCAGCATTGGTAGTGTTTATTTATTTATTATTATTTATTTACCGCGCAGATAGTAACAAATGTTTATAGAAAACATTAAAGAAACAATAATCTAAAAACATAATGGTTTTTGTTGTCTTTTCAAACAAATTCTTGTATGACTTTTTGGACATGTTGCTTTTTGTAAAAAGGAAGTAATTCTCATTTAGTTTTACTTTCTTTAAACAAAATGCAATTTGTGTTAATTGCTATTTTTTGTTGAAAATTTTAAATGAATGAAGTTCTTCAAGAAAAATTGGAAAGAAATGATGCTATATAGTTTTTTTGCTCTTTTAAAAAGAAATAATTATGTAAAACTTAATTTATTTACGACTTTTTTTTATTAAAATAATAAATTGAAAAGAAGATAAAAGAACTTAACTTTAACTTCGGTAAATCGATTTTATTTGCTTAAAAACAAGAGAGTAGAGTAATTAAATAAATAATTATTTAAAAAATATTTGTTTTTAAATATTGGATGGTTGGCTTAGCATCCATACCCCCACCCAAACACTTCAGAAATTACGTCACACCAAGCAAGGCAAGAAAGCCACTAAGACACAAAGGAGGCTACTGAGTGTGAAAGACTTAGAAAAATAAAAACATTATCAAAGAGTGAGAACAATAAAAGAAGAGGTATCAAGATTTACTTTTAATGCGACTTCCATTCCATAAAAGCGCAAATTTGCTTCTATTCATCGGTGTTTCCTTCATTATATACTTGAACGGCTCCGAAAGAAAGTCTTAATAGCATCGCCATCGACAAGACACGTTCAGAATTCATTATTGAATATAATTTTGATATAAATTATTAGACTTTTTCAATTATTTTTTTTTTTTAATAAAAATCAAATTGATATTTTTTTAAGGTAATTCACTCCAAGCAACGCGGGAGTGCCACTAGCATGGAAGAGGTTACAGAGGATTGAGAACAAGAGTAAAAAGACGTGTTTGACGAAAGAATACAAAGGAGGATGGGGAACAAGCTTAGAGTGTCAGATGTTGATTGACATCACACTTGAATATTTGAAAATTATCGTCATCTGAGAAGCAAGTAAGAGGAAGGGAGTTTCACACACAGGAAGTGCAGGAGAAGAAGCTGTTTGAGAAGGTGAGAGGGTTACATTTAAACGTTTGGCAGTGAAAGGGTGGGACCAAGATACCAGCCTTGTAGCTCGTTCAAATTCATGTAGAGCGGGAACCAGCGAAAGTATCTCGTCGAAACAGTTAACGTGAAAATATTTGTAGAAGAGACAGACGGAGGCCACAGCACGTCTGTGGGATAGCGATTGTAGACTAGATGCCAGATCAGGACCTATCATCTTGCATATTCGTGTCTGGATTTTGTCAAGGACTTCCACACGTACAGCGGGAATATATATTTTTGTGTTTAGTTTTAAGAAAATATTTTAAATAATTAGTTGTATGGCGGAATAAATTTTCCCTGAAAATATTTTTGATTTTTAAAGAAAAAAAAATTAAAGTAGTGCTTCATTTTTAATAAAAAAACAAAATTTTACATTAAAGTTTCACGCAGAAATCCGCACACGATAGCCACAGCCATAACTACAGCGGCAATGGCCAGACTGGAAAGGATGATATTGGAAGATCGACGTTAGCTTTTATAAACAGTTAAGCTCTACAAATCGCTGGTTGTATCCATGTTCCTCTGCGGGTGTGAGACGTGGACACTTCATGTTGAGAAACGAAAAATATGCAAGCATACGATAACAAAAGCATCTTCCGTATTGGGAGCACAAACACCAATGTCGATGTACAAAGCAAGGTCAAAGGTCTTGTGAGCCGACAGAAATCTCTCCTCTTCATCATTGTTATACCGGAACATACCTATTCTATTGTTAATAGACTCTCCCAGATATAATAAGTAGTAGTAGTAGCAGTCGCCAGGGGGCTCAGTGAGTTGAGTGAGTCAGTCGATGTCGGACATTGCAGTATCAACCACCACAACTAGATTGCTGCGTCATTAACTATTATTTTCAAGTTCCTAACGTTTTGTACGTCGAACCTAATTTAGGACCGACAGTGAAATACAAGCCTCCATTGTGAAAACTACTCTACAACAATCATGAAGCATTGGGAGATGGCATGACAGCCTCTGCAAGTGTTTCATGCAAGGCACCGTTGAAGGTGGATGCAAGCGGAGAAGGCAACGCAAGCGTTGGTCAGAAAACATCAAAGAGGGGGCTGATATGACAATGCTTGATCTCCCATGAGCCACTGTCAATAAATCATCTCGGGGGAGCTTGTCTGTATCTTCTACCCTTAGGTACCTCTGCGTGACGATTGAAGTCGTCAAGGGTCTTATGATGAACAAAAATATATAAATAAATCCATATATATCAATGACGAAAATAGATTTTCAGATAAATCTGTACAATTCTGGGTCGTTTTCACAGTGTATCATTACTCTGAAGAGGATTCTACTTCTAGAATGATAAAAATTCAATATTTTGAAGAATGTCTAATGAATATCCGTCTGTATTTCGGAGATGAGGTATTGTAATTATTTACGCTGTTCGGACTGCTGTCCTCATCTTTATTACCATATTCACATTTCGGCCGTTGTACGTTCTGGCCTTTTTCAGGTGATTGGAATTTCGAATTGAACCATTTATTTCGTCCACCGGAGTAGATTGACCTAGTTCAATGATTCTCAATGTGGACCGCCTGCCCTACCGGTAGGGCATGGTAATATTTTGATGGGACATGCGTAGGATATGCACCCTTCGGCTTACTATACCTAAAAATAAGAAGGCAATTCGAGAATAAGTTATTAACAATGAATTCTTTTCTTGTGAGCCCAAATATCATTTTGCATTATTATTTCATGATTCAAATGATCAAAGTATTTTACAGAATAAATTTTCATTCAAATATTTTATATTTCTGCCTTTCAGTTCACTATTATATGTTTTGAAACTATATATATTTAAATGTCTTTTTAATTTTTCTCTTTAGACGCCATGGTATTTGGAGGTTTGTTTAGAGACCAAATTAATGGCTTTCTAAGCTTCCACCACGTGATTTGCAGTGAAACGTTGAATATGTAAGAATTAAATATTACAGGGCGGGGGCACCGGAATTTCAGAAATACCAAAGTGGGCCATCGTCCCCAAAGGTTGGGAACCATTGATCTATTTCTACGCCTCTAGTGCCATGTCTCTTCCGCGTGCCGCAGTAATATCCAATTAAGTCAACTCCCCAAGTTTTTGTTCCCAACACATTGGGTCAAATCCCTGGATCTAACCAACGCTTTTATCCACTGGGTCATGTGTCTAACGAACGTCCGTTTACAAAAATTATTTTCAAACCAATTTTCCTTATTTTATCAGTCAGTTTGTTTATCCTTTTCTCCTGTAAACTAAAATGTGTAATGTTGTGACACAAGGCCGGAAGTATGGAAATGTAAGTATCAGTTGATCTCTGGGTGAGAAGTCTGGAGTGGAATCTACACTTATTGAATATACTTTTACTACTTCTTTACTTCTTCAAGAATGGTACCAAGAACCTGCTGTCGTATGAACTCAATCAATTCCTCATAAATATTTGCAGATAAGTATGGCAGATACCATTTACCAGGATTACCATACAAGAAAGGATAAAATTCACTCAGCATCTCTAGTATACCTAAACAGTTGTCATTTTTTATTGACACAATAATCTGATTTTTTCTACTAAATGGCAAACCTCTGAAGACAAGAAAGTGAATTTAACAGAAACCACACTTTATGCCAATATTCCTTCTCTGAGCGATAAAGAATCTACATTTCTAGTTTCTTCATCTCTTATCAAATATGTTGTCATGCACTTTTGATGTTCTTCTCCATTTTCATGTTCTACGTTAACCTTGCTGTGCTTTCAGTCATTGAAACCCAATGTAACAAAGGGAGATTCTTTGCTGGACAATAGGCGACATACAAAGCAGTACAAACGACATTGACATGGCGACTACAGCATTCATTCACGTTTTAAACGCTCGCCATTCTGCAGTTCACATTTGAACAGATTGTTTGATAAATACCTTGCCTTCACATTCTCTACTCCAGCTGTTTTATACAACTCTGCGTAAATTTGAAATGTTCCTATCCTGATTCTGACATGATGAAGGCTCACTATGAATCCCGTAATCTATTCTGTTAGTATCATTAATGTTCCATAGACTCGGATCTGTCTGTTGGAAATGTAAACTCCTTTACTTTTACAGATACGCGTATTTCCTTTTGTAAAATGTCACTGGCAGCAGCAACAGGCAATGATAGTGTGTCTACTGAAACTGGATGATTGGTAACAGGAATGAATATAAATATGGATGCTCTATCTGAAGGAACAGTACTACTGGCTGACATTATAGAAGTGGATGCTGATGTAGATAATTATATCTGAAGGAATGGTATGAATGGCTGCTGTTGCATCTGTATTTCAGCCACATTGTTAATTTTGGAAGTTTTTTTTATTTTCTCTTTCTCCTCTGCATCTCTCTTCGTTTTCTGTGCTCCACTCAAAGCTTAGGACGAATCCACATTTTGTCACGGTTGCGACAAGAAGAAGAAGAAGAAGAATAAGAAGAGAAGAAGAAGAAGAAGAAGACGAAGAAGAAGAAGAAAGAGAGAGAGAGAAAGAGGTAGATAGATAGATAGATAGATAGATAGATAGATAGATAGATAGATAGATAGATAGATAGATAAAGAGAGAGAGAGAAGGTGAAAGAAAAGAAGAATAAAGAAATACTATCAAGGCTAGCGTTTTGTAATAATAAAAATAATTTATTTACAAAAGTAAAAAATAAAAATATATTACAATTAAACATTTAAAACAATATTGATTCAGTCTAGGGGGAATTTAAGTATTAAATCAAACAAGAGAAAAAATTAAAGAAGAAATATTGTCTCCAGCAGAAAGCCAAGTCATATTTTGGTCACAAATATTAAAAGATAGAAATGAAAGTTTTACCGGCGAGTCAGTGAAAGGACTTTCGCGAAGATTTATCGTCAGGAGTCAGGGCCAGTTGTTTGATCTTTTCCGTGATAGCGAAATTATCTGCAAGTGAACTGAACTAGCGAGACTAACCAACCCTTCCATTTATATAAGTCCTCACCATTTCCAGGCCAAAAGAGGACATTTTCCTACTTTCTTTTTTATTCGAGAACCAAATATATCTGGTGTTTTAATTGAAACAATTTAGGCTGGGTTATCATGTGATGAATATTCATATTTTTTTAAATTATAAAATAACATATCGATGGTTGTCCTATATTGAAATGAAGTTGTTTTACGAACGCTGACAATGTAAACTTGAATTTAAATCATTTAATTCCTTTTAAGATGTCCGTCAATCCACAATTATGGGAAAGGATAGATTTCTTATAAAGTCTCCCTTTTATAATGACGTTGCTAATTAGTTATATAGAGAATTATAAATATTGTAATTAAATCTGAAGACGACAGAGAATGGTTTGCTTTCGATACTAGACGCACCATTTTATCTGACAGGCAATGACGCTTCAATAAAAACATATTCCTCCGTCATTGCAATTATATCAGCTGAAGTTGTTGCTATATTGACATCTTCATTAATAGATTCTCAAAAGTATGATGAATTAAAAAAAAAACAGCCATTTTGTCAGCTGATGAAAAAACAGAGCCTGAAATATTGGACAAACTTATGAAGACAACTGCAATTGCAAGATGCTCATCAATTTATTTACAAGAAAAAATGCCATCAAACTAACAAACATATACCATAAAAATATATATCATTGACGACTTAACCATTGACGACTTAAATATGCAAAGATTACATTTTTTTACGCCAAGAACGAGTAATCCTTGGTCCAGATAAAACAGGAGTCATCAATATGGAATCAAAAAGTGATCGATATTCTATACATATTATCATTTTATTTACTTCTGAGTTTGCCAGCAAACGGTTTTTTAAAAATAAATTTGACTTTAGCTTATACAACATAATAACTTGATGATGTTCTGAAAACAGCAGTCAGAACAATTTTCAAACTGTTTTTGTGTAAAGAAATGTGATACTAACATTTCAATGCTTTATAAAATTTCTTTCTCAAAATGTATCTTTAATTTAGGAGTTTGGATTTATAATATGAGTGGAGAAGGACTTTTAAAAATTTTCCATACGTTAGAGTAAGAGTATATATTTTAGTTTAAAATGGGTTTCGTATACTTATGCCTACTAAAGCCCAAGTCTCTGAAGATATAGGATTATTTAATTACAGTTCTTTAGAAGCATTTCATATTGAACCGTGCAATGTAATGTCACTGCTCAAACTGAAGTTTGTGACACTCAATTGGTCACTAACAGTAGTCTATAAGAAAGTGTACAACATACATTTCAACAAGCACTGCCTTCAACTATAGTCGATGTAAAAATAGAACATATGTCGTTACACCTCAGTCTGATATGTGCCATGCGTGATACACGCTTAGGCGATCATACATCTTTCGATACATGACTAACGAAACAAATTTTTCCCGCAGTAGGGTGCTATTTCTTTCTGCCGTAGACCAGTTGCTATCCAAGGCTATAGAACCCGGTCTGTCCTGTTATTTATCCGTAGCTGGGAGAGAAGAAGAAAATTCATATCTTTCCCAATGGTATTAGCACGTAAGTGAATGTAATGTAAATCGACTTGAATTCGAACTTGGCTCTCCGATTCCTCCAATTTAACCACTATCCATTACTCCACAGTGCCTCCCCGTTGCACCTATTGAGATATATTTTTTAAAAAAATGAATGGCTCCGAAAACAAAACGGGTTCCGACTATGTTGTAAAGAACCCTGACCAAAAATATACAGAGATGCTAATGTTTAGGTCAATAACGCAAAGAACGCGTCATTCTTGGTCCAGACAACATAAGAAGCATCAACGAGGAATCAAATTGGATCGATATCCTATGCATAATATCAATTCATTTACCCTTCTACCTGCCAGCCGTCGCTGTTTTTCAAGAATAGGCGTAAATTCAACTTATACACTAATAACAGTATTTCCTGAGGGTGTGCCTAAATAACAGTAAGAAACCATTTCTGTTTGAATTAGACATCTTTTGTATCAAGAAATATGGCAGTAACATTTCAAAGATTTTCCAATGAGGAAATGTATATGTGCGTATGTAGGCGATATTATCATATTTTGGGATCGAACAGCGCATACAAATTGATTAATTTGTTTTTTACGGCTTATCAACCTTTTGCCTATTATTTAAAGGCAGAAAATATTTTTTACACTGTAATTTGTTTTGAAATAATAATAATTTCTACTGATGCAAGTTCTACTGATTAACCCATAGCTGGAGTAGGAAGAAGTGGATTCATACCAAATATATTTGCGCATAAGATAAATATAACGAACCCGACTGGAATTTGAACACTGCTCTCCGATTTCCAATTCCGAGCCGTCATCCATTACACCATCTGCACCTCTAAACTTACAGCACTTGATATTCCGAAGCCGTTAAAATATGAAATGGATTTAGGCAAAGTGTTTAATATAATGTTAGATGGAAATAATTTGAATATTTCTTTCTTCCAATGAACATTTAATATTTTCTTATATTATTTATATTATATTTTTAGATCGTAAGATTTTTTGAAGATAATGATTTACTAATTAACCCATAGGTAGGGAGGAGAAAAGGTAGGTTCATACTTTTACCGAGAGTATGGACATTTCGACGTAGTGTAAACTTGTCTTGCTAGAAGAATTACGACTGAATCGGAAGATCTGTAAGGGCCTATTGGTTGAAAGATTTATTTTTGGAACATTGGGGTTACCAATTGTAAAGATGTCCGTTTGTAGATAGACCAATACTATTTATATTATTATACTTTCAACGTCCGGGATTCAAGTAAACAACAAAAACTCCAAACTGTGAATCAACAAGTATATATTAAAATAACATACAAAAGCAAAGTTCCCCTTTAATTGTATTTTGGTTTGTAATTGATTGTTTGAAGAAAGTTCTTTTTGAGAGAAAAATGTTCAGGAATCAATATTAGAACAAAGGTCTGTTAGTTAAGAATACAATTGATCAAAAATATGTTGTGCTATAGAAGGTTCGAAATCAACTGGTTGATTGAGCTTGGCTAAGTCACTGAGAGAAATGTAAGTTTATAGTACGAAATTCTGTGTGCGTGTTTGAAATGTGACGAGTAAGATCGTGGACTTGTATGGACAGATGAATTTTATTGGATCTTACTGACGACTTGTGAAAAAGTCGCCTCTTTTATGGAAAAAGGGTAGGCTCCCACGGCAACGCGGGAAAACTTAATCTTGCACTAAAATATGTGATTTATTAGCCAATCGCAGGCGAATAAAAAGTGGGCGTGGAAAAACATTAGAAAATAACCACAGATTTCCTAAGAGTATTTACACGTAAATGAATATAATGAACTTGACTGGAATTAGAACTCTGTTCTCAGATTTCCAAACCTGAGCCATCATCCATTCTAGCGTTCTACGCTGACAGTTTCTTTTCTTGCACTTCTCAATTGTGGAACTCTCTTCCGGCTCCCAACTTTTCATCCAACTTTGATCTTCAAAAAATTAAATGCAATGTCAATCGTTATCTACTGTCCTCCTGATTAATGTTCTCTCGTTATCGATTCTTAGTAATGTTTCAATTCTTTCACACCTAATAAACCTCTTGTGTCTTAGTGGCTTTACTTTACACTTATTAATTGTGACGATGACTAAATATTTACGCTGTTATAAATCATTTTTTTTAAATGGAAATACAATTCCGTGATTTAGATATGCTAATTCTAGTGCAACATGACAGAATTCATTCTCACAATTTCGCATTGGTGATTGTCAAGTTCATCATTTGCTTTACTAGGAATCATCTATCTAGCTATTTCTCTATGTAGCTAAATTGATAGATAGTAAACAAAAAGAATAAAAATCTCAAAGTTATCTTTCAGCTTCAATTTATTCTACTCGGGTTAAATAGTTCAGTTGAATTTATTAATAAATATCATTTATTGTTTAAAAGGCGTCGCATAAAAATAAGTGTATCTTTTTAATGTCAACATATTTAATACTGATTACAACTTAAAAAAACTGTTAATGTCAACATATTTAATACAGATTACTACTTAAAAAAAACTGGCTACCTGACAATTGTTATCTTTAAACCCTTATCCTGGTTTACACATTAGATAGATTTACGGCGAAATCACGTTAAATCACAGATTCCCGTATAATCACCGAATTCAAGATAGACAGACACAAAAATAAATAGATAGATACACACACACACACACACACACACACACACACACACACACACACACACACACACATAGATAAATAGATTGATCGACAGATAGATAGACAGACACAAACACATAGATAGATAGATAGATAGATAGATAGATAGATAGATAGATAGATAGATAGATATCATATCACATTGAAACACAAGTTCCTGTACAATCACCGAATTTAAGACAGACACATAGACGCAAAAATAAATAGTTAGATATACATACAGACACACACACACGCGCTCAGATAGATAGATAGATAGATAGATAGATAGATAGATAGATAGATAGATATACACATAGAAAGAACAGAGGGAGATAGATGATTCAAGAGAGAGAGAGAGAGAGAGAGCATGAGAGAGAAAAGGCTGAGACAGATAGATAGATAGATAGATAGATAGATAGATAGATAGATAGATATGAATTTTCTGATAAAAAATAAAAAAAGTTAATAAAAATATATTTTCATCTTTAAATAAATGTCAGACATATGACAAGGGAGAGCACTCTAGAATTTATAAAATAATTTTGAGTTACTTCCCTTAAATGCAAACCCAGTCTTTGGAAAAATGAAATTATTTGTTTTCTATGTTCTGCACTAGAATAAGGTTGAGATGTATATATTAAGTTGGAACAAAATAAATGTTTGTTTTTACTTTATACTTAGGAAATCGATTTTTCGGCTTATTCCATAAGTTTAAGCACACATCATTTAAAAGTCCTCTTTTCTTTTTCCAGGTATTTGCATGAATGTTTTGTTTTTTTAGCATATATATTTTCTTATTTTGATTATTAACATTTTTATATGGTAAAGAAGCAGACCTTCATGTAATTCATCTTCGTAGGGTGAAACCAGCCACAATATTGAAAGGAACTTGGGAACCGGAGTCAGCTTTGTAATTCTGCATGCGTCTTTTTATTTTTTTATTTCCAAAAATTCGCTGCAGGTGATTTTGGTTGGGATCGTTAAATCATCATTCAGTAATAAAGAACTGGCGGCAAAAGTCAGATAATTTTTCAGATAAAAACTAAAAAAACAAAAAAAAAAAAAATCACTGAGGCATCGCAAGAAACGTCGGTGACACCCCCCTCCTCATTTATAACAAATATTTGCTATAATACGGCTGGGTGAATTTAAAGTAGAAAATGGGTGCCTTAGGATTAAATTAAGGATAAGCAATTTGCATGATTTAGCCTTTGCTACAATTTCTCTATTCGTCTTCATTTTATATCATCATCATCATCATCATCACTATTTACATTATTCGGACTATTGTCCTCATCTTTGTCGCCATATTTATTACGACGTTTCGGCCTTTCAGTATCTGTCTATATTTCTGAGAAGAGGTATTATATACACTATTTACATTATTCCGACTATTGTCCTCATCTTTGTCACCATATTTATTACAACGTTTCGGCCTTTCAGTATCTGTCTATATTTCTGAGATGAGGTATAATGTACACTATTTACATTATTCGGACTATTGTCCTCATTTTTGTTGCCATATTTATCACAACGCTCTGACCGTTGTACGCTCCGGCCTTTTTCAGTTGGTTGGAATGTCGATCTGAACCCTTTATTTCGCTCGCTGGGTAGAATGTTCCACGTGACATGTCTAATAGATGTTAGTTATCAGTTATCTCTTGTTAATTCCCCTCTTCAAGTTCTCCACCGCCTTAACCGGGTACTGAACTCACAACTCTTTGGGTCCGGTCACTGAATTTAACCAAAGCCTTTCTCCACTGTGCCATGTGTCCTTAAGGTGTTCTTCAACCACCCGAAGAAGGCCGGAGCGTACAACGGTCGAAACATTGTGATGAATAAGGCTACATAGATGAGGAGAATAATCCGAATAATGTAAATACTGTACATGATACCTCATCTCAGAATTATAGACAAGTGTCATCATCATCATTATCATCCTTCGACCTCCCTCTGGTTGGTCGAAACTCGATTGACAATCCCTTTCCACATTGTTCGGTCCTGTATTGCTGTTCTCAGATTCCTAATGTCTAACCCTGAGTCCCTTGCTGTGATGTGTGGAAAGTCAATTTTCGTGTGAAGACACTTCTAGAAGGATGCCATAGGTGTAAGGATGTGACGAGTTTCCTGTTGGCTCGGTGACAGTGGCCAGCAAACTGTAATCGTTTCTGTTTCAGCTGAAAAGAGACAATGGCTTCATTTTCGTGTAAATTGTGTTAAGTGTTGCTCCAACTGATGTTCTCGATTTTTCTAAGCAGATTTGTATATTTTCCATCCAGTCGTTTTTCAAGCTTTATATAATACTTGATTACTTGACCATGCGTTTAGTTTTTTTTAATGTAGAGTTTTCTTTGATTTTATGAAACGAAAACGGAAATAAACAGCAAAACAGTCGAATACAAAATGACAAAAAATGGTTTCTATATCGAAGGATACATGCATCTTTCTGGCTAATAAATTAATGCCTTGAAAATAAATATTTGACATTTTTCAACCAATGGGTCGTGTTCCCACCGATAATAATAAAAAAAAAAACAAAAAAAAACATGCTTTGTGATCGTTCTGAATAATAAAATAAATATAAACAAAATCACCAGAGCAGCAGATAAGCCAGTAAGGAGAAGGAGTGGCAATATGCGACAACAGATTCACGATACTAGGGCTTACAAGAAATACCCTTTCTCAGTCACTCGTCTTCCTCATCAAGCTACGTGACACTTACACTTTCAATATCTTTCTATATTTCTTATATTTTCTGTATTGTAATTATTTACATTATTTACATTGTTCGGACTGTTGTCCTCATCTTTGTTGCCATATTCACGACGTTTTGGTCGTTGTTATTCAGGTGATTAAAATTTCGAACTGAACACTTTATTTCGTCTACCTGGGTAAATTTTTCTAGTTCCACGTGCCATGTCTCTTCCGGATGTCTCAGTATCAGTTATCTCCCTTTAACTCAACTCTCCAAGTTTTTTGTCCACCTTTGCTGTAGCCAGGTATTGAACTCTTTGGGTCAAGTCACTGGATTCAACTAACTCTTTTACCCACTATCAAATAAATTTCCAAGATTTATCCAAGATCTGTCTGTGGAGCAAAGATGGAAATAAACACCAAGACAGTCAAACATCAAATGAAAAAAATGGTTTCTATGTAGGAGGATTCGTGAATTTTCTTCCAGTTAATAAATTAATATTTTGAAAATAAATATTTAACATTTTCCAAACAATGGGTTGAACTGCCGCCGACAATAAGAAAGAGGCTTTGTGATCCCTTTGAAGAGTATATAAGCAAAGTTTCTAGACCAGACAAGCCAGTAAGAAAAGGAACGGTAACATACAGCAATAGTTTACGAAGGCACGGCTTAAAAGAGATTCCCCTACTTCTTCAGCAAGTTACGTGAAACATTTTCCTCTTCACTTTCCCACTTGATTCTTTTTTTCTCACACATGCACGTGAAGAAATCACATTAGTTTTCTTCTAAACAAACAACTATAAATAAAGAAAATTTAGCACAAGTACATTAACACTCAAACACGCTGAGAAAAATCTGGTTGTAAAAACACGAAAATAAAAATATTTTATATTTAAACACATCGCGTGTCAAATGTGCCGTATCTTGTCAAATGCTTTTACGTAATCTATAAAACATAATGCTCTCAAAAATGACCCCAAGCAGCGTTTAACTGGAACAAGGAACAAATGCTTTCACCATAGAGAATCTTTTCAGCTTTCCATCGGTATGGCTGATTCTAACCTCCAGAAAAGTAAGTCATTGTGCATTCTTGAATTCACGTTTTCCACTGACATGCTAGGTCTACTGCGAGGAAAGTTAGTTCACTGTGTCCTTCCAATCAATTTTTCTTATCAGATCCCATCTTCCATATTTATAAATCTGCCATTCATCTGTACATTGAGAATTGCTGCCATATCTGGCCTGGTTCTCTTACTATACAGCTTGATATTTTTGACAGAATCCAAAGAAGGCTCTGTGATATAATCGGTCCTTACCTAGCATCTCGACATCAGCCACTTTCCCTCAACCTTTTATATTTCTAGATTTTCAGGGCAATTGTTCTGAGGAGTTTTCCTCTTTGACGCGTCGACTGCATGAATTTAAGCGTGCTACTCGATTGGCAATTAGGTCTCACCGTGTTATTGATGAACTAGCTAGATGCAGTAGGTGCTACTTTTTCCGCATGTAGGAATTCAATGATTCACTTTTGTTTCGTTCCGTTTTCATGTCAAGCGCCATTTTGCCAGATTACAAAGTGTAACAAGGCAAAAAATATTATAGGTTAGTAGTTGGAAGTTTCAACCACTACTATTGTATCACTGACTTCTGCTTTTTTTTACATTGCAGCGAACATAATAAAATGGGGAGCATTACTTTCAGAGCGACCGTTGTATCTCTCATTTGTATGTGTATGTGTGTCTGCGTGCGTGCGTGTCTCTGTGAGTTCATACGCACTTGTCTGCTTAAAAGATAAAGTTTTTAAATGATTCGAAACCGGATTAAATCCAACTAAAAGTCTTTATGAGAATTTCCAGATGTGTCATTGACAAAATGGCGATTGATCGTTTTTAATCCAACGATACACGAAAGGAAGTGCTTAAAAGACCTGAATCCAGTTTATCATGAGAACAAAAAACAACTGCGGCCATAGTTTCAAGGCTTTTATTTTCTTATGAAAGTTTTTTTTTATGAAGAGAATGGGTTTGAACATCTGTTTATAGTATTGGCAGTTATATCTTCTTTAATTCTAGAAACACAAATCACATGAATACAAATTCATGCAGGCTTCCGATATATACACACCCTTGTGGATTTTAATTGAAACAACCAATTTAGTTTTCTTTCTTTCAACATACAGTCGGTTTTAGAACCACTGGAATGACAAGATGTAATCGATTTTTATTTTTTCTTCAGATTAGGTCATTTGCAGTGGTGTGCAGTAATATGAATATATTTTCAGAGACTATGATGATATTTATTTGGCCTTGAAAAATACTGTGTCATCCGTGATTGCATCAGATATTTATCAGGCACAGACACTATTGTCTCGACTGTTGATTAGTTGTCCTACGACCATTGTCTACGATGGACGCTACTCCAAGTAAGCATACGAAAATTCTAATGCTGCACAAATACACTGGTAAGCTTTACCAGTGAGCAAATGAAAGTACTACACTGTCCCAGAAATTCTCCTGATTTAAATCCAACCGAGAATCCGTGGTCAATCAACAAGAAACAACATCGTGAAATCGACATACGAAGTACTAACATGTGCACTGTATCATGTTTCATTGGAAAAGTGCAATAAAAAGTAAATAATAACGGAATTATTTGTTTTGTTTCAATTAATATGCACAAGGTTATATATATATATATATATATATATATATATATATATATATTATATTGCACAAGGTTATATATATATATATATATATATATATATATATATATATATATATTCCTCACGGGTGGTACAACTCAGGTGCTGACTGTGTTGCGTAGCCCCCTCATGTTGGGAGGTCTTACTCACTGCGTCAATTAATACAATGTTGTATAGCTCGATAATAAAGTTGCATTCTTCTCTTTCCGCCGGTGAGCGCGAGTTGTTTTGGTTCACAGATGAAATAACTTCAACACAGGGAATTTTAACTTAGCTTGCTTATTAACGTCGACATATACAACATCTAACTCGCCAGTGGGATCGCTTTCTCTCTCTCTCTCTCTCTCTCTCAACTGTGGAGTAGTTTCTAGACCCGAAAGTCAACAGATCTACATTGAGTGACGTGAACAACTCCCTGAAAAATCTTTCTATATCTCTATCATTCCCACGATCGTTCAGCCAGTCAAAATCGACTTCCTTTTTTTGTCTTCTATCTCATACCTATGGTTAACCTGAGGAAGTCAGAGCGGTGATACAGATACACTTCCGACGAAAAGTAATAGTCTGCTAAACTCTTATTTAGCAACTGAAAACCGTTACATAATTTAAATTTGTATATATATATATATATAAGCAAGTGTAAATGGATATAAATCCGACAGAATGAAGAAATTTTGAAAAAACAAACAAAAATCCTTAAATGTAGTTAAATGAAAGAAATGTCGACGTCTGACGTTTCGGTTTATTAAACCTTTTTCAAGACAATATTCATCAAAATACAATTCAGTTCAATATGACAAATACGATGGACATAAAAACACAAGTCTTATTCAGAACAGATAACTGAAAATCGTATTTGTCATATTGAACTGAATTGTATTTTGATGAATATTGTCTTGAAAAAGGTTTAATAAACCGAAACGTCAGACGTCGACATTTCTTTCATTTAACTACATTTAAGGATTTTGTTTGTTTTTTCAAAAATTTTTCATATATATATATATATATATATATATATATATATATATATATATATATATATATAATACTGGAATATAGCAATTCCAGAACAGTCCATATTATTTGCATGATTTTTTTAAAGAAAATATAAATTAAAAATTTGTATAAATAACTGGAAATTACACACACACGCGCACAGACACACACACACGCGCACACACACACACACACACACACAAACACACACACATATATATATATATATATATATATATATATACTATAATTTTTTTTTTAATATGTATTTATCGCTACACAGATATTACCATGTTTCGAAACGATTTTCAAACGATGCAGCATAGCTTCAAATTTTAAGCTTAATTTAAGATTAATGTTTTTTGTTTCGAAACATAGTAAATTTCTGTGTCGTGATGAAAACATATTTTTAAAAAATAATTATAATATTATGCTCTACTGTGTAAAAAGTACTTTTTGAAAAAAATAAATGTAAAAAGAACTCTGACTGTTCATTCTTGTTGTATATATAGTTATCCACAGACAGGCTACTTCGCAGCTCTTCAGTGTGGCTAGACACCCGTTTGCTTCTAGCTAGGATCGAAACCCGGCTAATTTGTTGTCAGTCGCAGATTCTGCCACTAAGCAGGGATGAAGGGGAATTTTAGCGTATTTATTTTTAGATAAACACACAGTGACAAAGAACTCAATTCGCTTTTACTGAAGAGTCTTGCTATCATCGCATTATATATATATATATATATATATATATATATATATATATATATATATATATATATATATCGATTTAAAGAAAATGAATTTCTTTTTTTTTTTGTATGACCATTTTTTTTTTTTTTTTTTTTTTTTTTTGCAGGACCTAGGTACCTTTCGGTCAACGCTTCATCAGGGTCTTTCGTTGGCAAATGATTTTAAACAAACAATGAAAATGAGAAGAACGCCAAAATGGTATGGTTGGAACACGTCTAAAATCTTACGAAGATGTATATACGTAAAATTAAAATAAATTTACGATTAAAATAAATGCGTAAATTATGAATTAATGATAATGAACCAACCTGAGCAGTAAGATAGGAAAATAAGTACTCCCAATTATGTACTCCCAACTAGATGGCGTTTCTATGGGTAGTCCTTTAGGTTCCTTTTTGGCCAATATTTTTGTCGGATATCATGAGAGCATTTTATTTGAGAAATATCAAAAACCTTATATCTATCAACGTTATGTTGATGATACTTTTTCTCTGTTTAATAACATAGAGGAAGCCACTCTCTTTTGTGAAGCGTTAAATTCCTTGCACCCGTCTTTGGTCTTCACTATGGAAGAAGAAATGAATAATTCTATATCCTTTTTAGATGTTCATGTTTTCATCACTAGTGTGTTTCGTAAAGAAACCTTTTCAGGTCTTTACACTAATTGGAACTCATTTGTTCCCCATACCAGAAAAATAAATCTGGTTAAGACCTTGTTGCGGACCCGGTAGGGTGCGGTGCTGGATTATACTAAGTGGCCTTGTGCCAGACACCACACTAAACTACCGAGCCTACAAGCAAAGTAAAAATGCGTGAATGAACAACGAAGAAATGTGGTTAATCCACACGTGCATAATTAAAATATATTAACAAGATAGCCTCCTCGGAATGACTGAAAAAGACTGGGTTTCAACAAGAGTAATTTTTATTAAATGCAGGAAAAACAAGTAATTTGTCCCGTGGTAGGGACCAATGAAAAAGTTCCGGGCCAAAATGGAAAAGCAAGATGGCTAAAGGCGGGAAAAGGTTCTTGAAGAAAAAAGGTTCCAGTAAGTCAATGTACATGGTAATATTCATACAAGGAAAAATACTCACTGCGAGTTTAGGTAATGTGAGTGAATGTTATGTACGTATTTTTTTTTCTTTTTTTTTTTTGTACTGGTTCAAAACAGATTTCTGACGAGACCCAAAGTGGACGACGGATTGTTTTGTATGTTCTGCATCGTCTCGGAGTAGGACTTTGAATGACGAGTCTCAAAGGGTCGAGGAATTAATATTTTGGATGTTTTGCATCATCTCGGAGGAGGGCTTTGAATGACGAGCCAAAAAGGGACGAGGAATTAATTATCTGGTGTTCTCATAGTCTTGTAAAAGAAATTCCGAATGACGAGCCAAAAGTGACGAGGAAAAAATTATCTGGTATTGCATCGTCTCGGAAAAGGGGTCTTGAATGACCAGCCAAAAGGAACGAAGAATTAATTATTTGGTATTTGCATCGTCTCGGAAAAATGATTATGAATGACGAGCCAAAAGGGACGAGGAATTAATATTTGGTGTTGGCATAGTAAGATATCCTTCGTCCGTCTGCCTTGCATATTGACATGGCTAAAAATCAGTCTGCCCAGGTCAGAGTCTGGAACACCAACTGACTTTTTGAAACAACAGTTTGTCGTTGACGTCACAAATTTTTCGCGGCAAGATTTCAAAAATCTAATTTGCATAAACAGTAGTAGCAAGTCGCTTGGTTGGTGACCAAAGCAGTTACTACTGTATTAGACCGAACGAGGGAGAAAGGGGGGTGTCAAAACGCGCGCGCACACACACGAGTGTCGGAGAAAGGGAGGCAACTCGCGCGCGCGTAAAATGTCGTAGATGGAATAATACATTATTCCACAACCTTAGTTCATAGGGCTTTATTAATTTGTTCCTCTAGCACACTTCAACAAGAGTTGAACAAAATTCGAGACATTCTCATCAACAATGGTTTTCCAGCCAACATTGTTGACCGCACAATAAAGCGGAAAATAGAGAATTTCAATATGCCCCCAAAATTTAGCCCAGGTCTTTGCCCTATTTATCTGAAATTACCTTGGCTGGGCAGAAAATGTAAACTTTTGACTGATAAAGTTTCATATGTTGTTTCTTCTACCTTCTTTTCGGCCAAAGTACGTGTTGTCTTTAGTACTCGTACTGTTTTTCCGTCTTTTTCCAAGGATCGTTTACCCTATCATAATAAAAGTTCGATTATATATAGATTTAAATGTCAGTGCGAAGCTGAATACATAGGGCGAACATGTCTTCGTTTGGAAACAAGAATCGGACAACATGTACCTAGACACATTAAATTAAATTTAGATAATCGCACCCGTGTTTCGCAATCAGCTCACGATTCGGCGATCGGGCAACACCTATTAGAAAATGAGTCATGCTCAAAACGTTTCACAATGGACTCGTTTTCAATTATATGCGTAGGCAGGTCCAAATATCATCTGTCTATTTTGGAAGCCATCTGCCTCAAAT